ATTTCAATGGTGAGTCTTTCTACCACACAATAACATGATATGTATCAATGGTGGCTTATGAAGGAATAATAGGCTACCATTCACAAAAAAAACCAAAAAAAACCCCCAAAAAACAAACAAACCCCAAACTGTTTAGATGCCAGAGGATCTAAAAAGAGGCTCTAAACCAGGGGTCCTCAAACTTTTTAAGGAGAGGGCCAGGTCACATTCCCTCGAACTGTTGGAGGGCCGGATTATAATTTGAAGAAAAAAAATAATGAATTCCTATGCACACTGCACATATCTTATTTGTAGTGCAAAAAACACTTTAAAGCAATACAGTAATTAAAATGAAGAACAAATTTAACAAATATAAACTTATTAGTATTTCAATTGGAAGTGTGGGCCTGTTTTTGACTGAAGAGAAAGGGATTGTTCTTGTTGCTGTTGTGTGCTTTGAAGTCATTTCCGACTTAGGTTGACCCTGAGCAAGGGCCAGGTAAATGACCTTGGCGGGCCTTAGTTTGAGGACCCTTGCTCTAAACAGTAATCCATGGCTTGGGTATGATGGGAAGGGGATTTAAATCACTCTAATGATATCACCAAATTGCATTAGACAGTGCCCTCAGTTTCAAAAGAGCTCTGCTGCTCAGATCTAACGTTCTCTGGAAATATAAAATTAACTGTATTTCTTTGGATCTTTGGTTACAAATACAAATGGAACACCTTTAATAGGGCTGAAATGTGGAATTTTGTATTCTGGATACAGTCTCTGAGTTACAAATGACTCATAGTTAATGATGGGGGTAAGACAACAGGAAGTTAGAAGCAATCTGCCCCTAGGAAGGGAAATTCACTCCTAAAAGTGTTATTTGGGGGGGGGGAGGTGTCTTCACTGAAGCTTTATCACCAACCCTTGCTTCCATAACAAGCCATTTCTTTTTTTAAAAAAATCCAATTATCACAGGGACAGAAAGGGAGGTGAAATAGGGAGGTGAAATAGGGGCACAGACAGCAAAATGAACACCATGGCCGTTAACCATTCCCTATGTTATCCAAGACGATATGGCTGGAGTTACACTTAAAAATTTCCTTGTACTGAGTTATATACAAATTCAGCTTAAGAACAAACCTACATAACCTATCTTGTCCATAACCCGGGGACTGCATTTTTCCAAAAACTGACACAGAAAAGTGAGAAGGGATTTTTTTTACAAAGCCAACAATTTATTTCCAACCTTGAATTGTAAATAATGTGAAAAGAATTACACTGAGACTGAAAGTTTGAAAATCTACTTCCTTATATGGTATGGTCTTTTTGGTCTCAATAGACCAAAAATAGGCTAACTTGTTAGTTCTTTAACACAAAGTTGACCACTTAAATAAGAATTACACATTATTTTTCAGAAGACACTTTGATGTTCACTCTTTTGTGTCTGTGAACTGCAAAAATAAAAGCACAATAGGAACTTCCTATGATCCTAAACCACATGTTGGGCCTTAATATTCCATTCATTCTCATTTTTAAAATTTTAAAAAATCCGTTTATCTAGCCATCTACAGTGGCTTGACTTGCATATTGGAAAATAATTCAGTGTTATGGAGAAAATTTCATGCTTAACAGTAGAGTTCCCAGATCACAAGCTGTGACCCTGAATTTCAAGGGCTACATTTTTCTCTGTATGCCCCAGGAAAGGGAGAAATCGCAGGGCAACAGGCCTGACTTGAAAGATATCTATTGTTAGAGGAGCTGTCTACACTCGCTGCCTACCATGAAGTGAACCAGAAGTTTTTCCTGGGTATCCAGATGACATCCAGGGAATTCTGCCCCCTAACATAGAAGCAAAACTGGCTAACCCAAGTTGACTCTGCATTAGATAAAGTCAGAGAATGCTGCAGAGCTTCCCTGTCTAAATGTAAAGCATTTTTTATTTTTACTTTTTTTAACCTGCCAGTGGCAAGAGACTAAGCTGACCTCATATTCATTAAAATTCCCACAAATCACTATTAACAAATAGAATTCACCACCACTCATAACTAATAACTCATAAATGTATATCATATTAATGGCATTTAAACATACTCATTCTGATTTTAAAAGGGACAGATTATATGGACCATTAAACATGATATTGACAATCACATTAAATATAATCAAAGAAACAGTCAATACTGTAATCAGTATTTTTTTCACTCCATTGACTTTGGTATATTTAGCATTTGCATAATAAAATTCAGCAGCAAATCAAATGTCATTTTTTATGTATTTCTGGGGAGTACTGTGGATACAGAGTACCTCAAAATAGGGACTGGGGATCACATGTAAACTAAAGATGGTAACCATCATTGAACACTCCTGTACTGGAGAAACACAAATGGAATGACACTGGTTTGTTTAGCCATTCTACTGGTAGGAGGAGCCAAGCAAAAGCAGTTGAACAACATGTATCAAAATATGCTAGAATCCTTTAGTCTGCCTCTGCCTGCATACATCAACTGCTATTAACAAATGGGATACGTCAACATTTTCCAACCTGGTGCAAGGTTTTATAGAGACATATGAATTTCTGATGTTTAGAGTTCTTAAATGATACAGCTTCACCTTATATTTTGGGGGACATGAGAGAAGCCTCCCCGTATGATTGCAAGACATCAGGGCATTTTATATTTTATTTATATTTTAGCTAGATTTCAGCTGACGGGCGTGTAAAGATCCCTTACCTTTCCAGCCTGGATGGCAGGGCCTAGGAGAAGCAGGCCAGTTAGTTGCAGCTTTAGAAGGCCTGGCAGAGGGCAGCAGTAGCCATTTTAGTTTAGGGAAAACACCATTTTAGAGAGGGGGAGTGTCCTAGGCCTGAGTTAGCATTAGAACAGCCAGGATTGGTTTAGAAAGGGGGGCGGAGTTTAGCAAGGTTTGGAGGGAAAGAAGGAGGCTTTTTCAGTCAGTCTGGTGTTGTTGGAGATTAGAATAGGAAGATAGTTGTAGGAGTTCGTGTCTTAAGATTAGTTAAGAGAAGGCAGTTTGCCTTAGGTTTGCCAGGAAAAATAGCTGGTTTTGTAGTTAGCTAGGCCTCAGTTTAGGGTAGCTAAGCTACAGTTGTATCTTGACAGAGATTCAGCTCCTGTCAAGAGTACTTGGTTTTTAAAGAGAAGAAAATCTCTGAGTTGTAACAAAGAAAGAACCATATATATGTAACCATTACGCTTTAAAGACAAGCCAGAATTCTCTGTAACCACCAAGATTTTCAACAGCATTTACTTTCTTCTGTATTTTTTTGTCAATAAACTTTCCTTGATTATTTTAAAACTTAAAAGCCTGAGTCCAGTGTGCCTTTGTGGCTATAGTCCCTTTTCAAATAACCTCAACTGTTTTCCTTTAAAGAAGCCAATAAGAAGACACAGTGCTTGGTGATCTTAAAAGCCCTTTTTATTATTTAAACAGCTAGGGTGTTCCTGAACCTTTCAGTGTTGGTGGCAGCGGACGTTAATTTGAGAGACATCCCCTCATAACATTTATATTGGTGCCAGTGAATTCTTTATATTGAAGAGAGACAGTTGGTGGGATCTGTTTTTCCCCCTGTCCAGAGATATATTAGTGGTGCCACATATACTGGAGCCTTTATAGGGCGCTCTTCCCATTAGGTAAAAGGAAAAACATCTTCCAAAATTTGTCCTATTTAAAGAAAGAAACAAGAAGATCCTAACAAATTAACAAGACAAATACCACTGAAAATGAAACCTATGGAAAATGAGAGGGAGAAAGGAATAAATAAGAAATGGAAGAAGGAGAAAAAGGAGACGAGGAAGAGAAAAAGAAGAGACCCTTATGATGATACTGGGAAGTCACAAGTTTTATTTTTCTTAATTCCCTTCCCCCCCACCCTCCCTAACGCTCTCCCTCCCTCCCCCCGCTCCCTCTCCCCCCTCTCCCCCCCATCTCTCCCCGCCCACCGTCCCGTACCCCTCCCAAGTCCCCCCCTTTTTAATTATTTGTGAAAAACTCAATAAAGATTATTTTTTAAAAAAAAAAACAAAATTTGTCCTATTTTATGGGATTATTTTCAATCTATTTCGCCTGACATGGACAAGATCTTGGGAGAAATGAAGGTGACCTACCCAACTGCCTCTCCTCATATGAACCTGCCTGGACACTCTGATCAACAGGAGAGGCCCTCGTCTCGATCCCACACCTGTCCTGAACCTGGCTGGTGGGGACGACAGAGAGGGCCTTCTCTGCAATTGCCCCCTGCCTCTGGAACTCTCTCCCGAAAGACATCAGAATGACCCCATTGCTGCCCTCTTTCAGGAAACAATTGAAAAACTTCCTATGTTCCCAAGCGCATGGTGAAATGAATGACTGAATACTTTGCCTTATGAAATATGGAATGGTTTATGAAAACGGCTTTTACATTTTCCCTTTACTACTGTTGCTTAAATGTTGTTTTATAGCATGGTTTTATTGCTTTTATAACTATTTGTTTTATACTATTTGTATTTTATTTAAATTGTATTACTTATTTATTACTGTACAAGGCATTGAATATTTGCCTTTTTATGTCTGTGAGCCGCCCAGAGTTCCCATGGGGAGATGGGGTGGGATATAAATAAAGTTGTTGTTGTATCAACTGCCAGCTTTAAGAAGCAAACCATGAATGTAAAAGCATCAATGAATGCAAACCAGAATGATGTGTGGCATTTTGAATGATTGGATTTTCTTTTGAAAGCAGGAAATGGCAGAAATCACAATATCCCCTTTTCAGAAAGAATGTTTAGGAATGTCAGAAACAAAATAATAAATGACTTGGCACCCAAAATCATTATATTATCTCTCATGATTTCTAAATCCATAAGTAACAATTTTGAGAACAGCAGTAGTTTTTTAAACAAATAACAACTCAGGTTTTAAAGAAGCAAAACATATGTAGTGCTGGAGGATCACATGAGTATAAAAACTGATGCACAGTTGACTAAGCATAAACACATCCCACTAAGACTAGAATTAAAGCAACGCAAAAGCCTACCTCCATTTTCTTCTCCATTGCTATTGCTTGGCTCAGTCATTTCAGTGCCATCCAATTCTGATTCACAACTTAAATCCAACGTTCCATCTGCTGGGCATGTAGAGTCTTCCTTCTATATATAAACAAATGTGATCAGATGGCTTGGCACTTTAAAAAATGATCTGGCTTCTACTATGCTTTTAAAAGAAAGCCTTGCATGAGTAAAATGTGATTTCTGACAATGTGCAAGATTGAAAGAACTATTCTGCCAAGTCCCAATGAGTATTCCACTTGAAAGTTATATATAAAAATTCTGTTTATTTTGTTTTCTGGGTAGAATCCAACTCTTGATCCTAGCTAAAGTAGATGCAAATCAGCCACTGAACAGTAAATGAAACATTATATACTGGTAAATCCCATTGTTTCAATGGGTCTACCCTATTCAGATGAGCAAATAGTTTTTCAACAAGCTTATTTCTACCCAAACAGATATGAAATAAAGCAGAATTAATGTAAGACTCTCTAGTTAAATATGCATTGTCATTCCACATGAACGCTGCCAGAAAATTCCTACATCTCATTTTTATATTATCCTCCTTTCACTACCTATTCCCTGAATTCCAAAACTATTTGGCATTTACATGGCAATGAATGTCTACATTCTAGATGATGCTAAACATATCAAAAGCTAACCAAATGAGAGAAAACTGGCTTTGAATTCTGTTAGCTGGCAACGAAAAGCCCATCATTTTAACTCTCTGAAAAAAATTCTGTATTCCATGTCCATTACTGCATCTTCATTTTTCATTTCAGTTTCAGAATTTATAAATTTCAACTAAACTTTGTAACCTGCTTCATAAAACATTAAAAAAAATTCTAGATGGATAGTCTTTGTCTTTTTCATTCACCTTTTCACACATTTTATTAGGGTTTTAGAAAGGAATTTTGTTAATTCAACATAAAGGAATTATTTGGATCATCGTTCCCAAGTTTGGGACTGTAACACATAGGGATCTCCCCAAATATAACATATAATATAATTTTGATACATAATATAATTTTGAGATATAATGTTATATATATATATACACACACACACACACACACACACACACACACACAACGTGTCATAATAATATCAGCATTGCTCTTGAGGTTATCAGTTGATAAACTGGTACTGCACATTGTTTTATAAAATTTCTGGACATGCTTAGAAAGAAGCTTCAGCTCATCAACCCTAATCAAATTTATTCACATGTAACTTTCTGTAAGATTTAGGTACAATATCTACAAGACCCTGTATTTTCACTGGCAAAAACATAACTTACTTTGAGTGCATAGAGTCCTGCCTTGCCAGGGATTTTGAAGAATGTGCCATCACCAACCCGAGTGTTAGTATGAAGCATTGCATTCAGACAAGCTAGTGGAGAAGTGCCACTGAAATACAAAAATGGGGAAAATTAAGCTAGTTGAAATGAAGGGTTTTCTTAAACTGTTTCCTCTTTTTTTCAAACTCATGGTCCCCTTAAAAAAGAAAGACGGGAAAAAAACTGCAAACCTCTCAACCCTGAAAACATCTACATTACAATAACAGGCCAGTTGAAACTTAATCATATGCATCTGTCCCTTCAGCTTCAGGCAAAAAGTCTGTAAATTATAATTATGCTATTTTTCACATAGTAAACAGCTCTACATTGAAAAAGAACGGCAGTCCAAATATTTATGTAAAATTACTTTGCAAATAGAACCACTAAGCCTCATTTTCAGAATGTTACAGACAAAGTGGCTGTTGCGCATGAATGATCAAAAACTGCACCAAGTCCAAGGGCAGCTGCATCCCATACGATGGAAAGGCAACAAAAGAATAATAAAAAACCCCAGGAAGAACACATTTAAAATTGCAAGGTTAACATGAACTAGAAGGAGCAGCATTGCCTTAACATAGCCAATGCAAACACTCATTGTGCACATCCTGTAGACAAGAGCAGTAATTTCAAGCTTTTATGTGATATGCAACTTTGATAAATACACATTCTGGGAAGAAAGTCCCTTTGATTTGAACTGACTGCTGCTTAAGCGAGAGTCCAATTTAAGGAAATTATTACATAACCACACAGTCTGTGCCAGAAAAAGGAAATGTTTAAGTGGTTAAAAAGTCAACAGACTTCAAGGATTCAAAATTGGACAAGTAGGGAACACAGCTTCCAGATTGCACATTCAGAAAAAGGAGTTCTTATCCACTACAAAATACACACACACAGGGTACACAGTTTAGGGCAAAAATGCCTCTTGAAGAAGAACCATTTATTTACTAGAGCTCCTCTTTGTCCACCACAATTCTAGTAATACATATGTAATTAAACATTGGTTAAAAGGAAACTGCAGGTTGCAGCTTGTTTTCATGCATGCTTTAATTAAATAGTGCTCAGACCAATATATCATGAATAGAATTAAATGAAGGTAATATTTCCATTCAGTAAACAGGAGTATCAATTACAACCCTTTAGTCACAATAAAGCGTGGTTGTAGGCAGATGAAATGTCGTGAATTAGCAGAAAATTAATCTAAATTAAATGTTAATGTTAAACAATCTTTTCAGAAATCTCATATTGCAGTACAGTTACATATCCACACAGACATTGTGTGGATGAAATTGAAGCAAGACCTATTGAAAACAAGGGTTTCTGGCCCTAGAATACTATTGCGGTATGCCGGATGACTGAGAAAATACCTAGAGAAAACCTATTTTGTTGGATATGATTAAATGAAACCATTGGATATAGGTACTGCAGATATAGAGGTTGTACTGTACTACTAAGTTAAAATTGAATAACCATTGCTTCATTTCATAACATTAATGGGTTTAGCAATGTTTTAGCTCACAGTAACATAGTTAGCTACTTTTCATTTAAATGGACAAAAACTGAATTGAGAGTGAATAATTTGTGTCAGGTACTAACGGAAGCTATAATCTAGCAAAGTATGGAAGGCCTCCAATTTCCTCATCTTGATATAAACATTTTAGATAAATGCATGAATAGATACAATGCTGTTGATTCAAATTTACATGAACTACTTTGCTCTAATGCAAGACAGATATCTTTCTTACAGCAATGAGGTGGTGGTAGTTAATTTTATTTACACCCTGGCTTTTCCCAGATTGGGACTCCAGGCATCTTACAAATTAAAATTAATTAATCTAAAGACATAGAAAAACACGAAAATAGAATGAAACTATCAACACTATTCAAACAATTTAAAAACATGTTGACTGTAGTTCAGATCACAAACTTTTTATTGCTCAATTTAGAATAAGACTAAAGAGATCAGGGAAAACACACAGACAGTTAGATATGATCTTACTAACATTCCTAGCAAATATGCAGTGGAAGTGAAGAACAGATTTAAAAGACTAGATTTAGTAAAGAGTCCCAGAAGAACCATGGACAGAAGTCAATGACATTTTTCAGGAGCTGACAACAAAGTAAGTCCCAAAGAAAAAGAAAACCAAGAAGGCAAAATAGTTGTCTGCTGAGACACTGGAAGTAGCCCAAGAAAGGATGAAAGCAAAAGGAAACAGTGATAAGGAGAGATATGCCCAGTTAAATGCACAATTCCAGGGGTTAGCAAGAAGAGATAAGGAACTATTTTAAAAGAAGCAATGCATGGAAGTGGAAGAAGACAACAGAATAGAAAGGACAAAAGATCTCTTCCAGAAAATTAGAAACATTGGAGGTAAATTACAGGCAAAAATTGGCATGATAAAAAACAAAGATGGCAGGGACCTAACACAAGCTGAAGAGATCAAGAGAAAATGGAGAGACTATACAGAAGATCTGTATAGGAAGGATAATAATATCGAGGATAGTTTTGATGGTGTGGTGAGTGAATTAGAACCAGACATCCTGAGGACTGAGGTTGAATGGGCCTTAAGAAGCATTGCTAACAACAAGGCAGCAGGAGCCGACAGGATCCCAGCTGAATTGTTTAAAATCTTGAAAGATGATACTGTCAAGGTGATGCATGCCATATGCCAGCAAATATGGAAAACACAAGAATGGCCATCAGACTGGGAAAAAAATCAACTTATATCCCCATACCAATAAAGGGAAATGCTAAAAAATGCTCAAACTTCCGTACAGTGGCCCTTATTTCTCATGCCAGTAAGGTAATGCTCAAGATCCTGCAAGGAAGACTCCAGCAATACGTGGAGAGAGAGAGTTGCCAGATGTACAAGCTGGGTTTAGAAAAGGCAGGGGAACGAGAAACCAAATTGCCAATGTCTGCTAGATAATGGAGAAAGGCAGGGAGTTTCAGAAAAACATCTATTTCTGTTTTATTAAGTATTCTAAAGCCTTTGACTGCGTGGATCATAATAAATTGTGGCAAGTTCTTGGTGGTATAGCATACCAAGCCACCTTGTATCTCTCCTGAGGAATCTGTATAAGGACCAAGTAGCAACAGTAAGAACTGACCATGGAACAGACTGGTTCAAGATTGGGAAAGGCGTACAGTAGGGTTGCATACTCTCACCCAATCTATTCTGGTTGCTTCTGGAATAGATTGGGTGAGGGTATACAACTCTTTGTTTGTTTTGTTCTGCTACAAATGTAATACAATTGTCTGGTTGCCCTTGACATGATAAATAAATAAACCCAATCTATTCAACTTGTATGCAGAACACATCATGAAATGTGCGGGGCTTGACAAATGCAAGGCTAGGGTTAAAATTGCTAGAAGAAATAGTAATAACCTTAGATATGCAGATGATACCACTTTGATGGCCGAAAGCAAGGAGGAGCTGAGGTGCTTTATGCGCGAGTAGGCCGCACGGGGCTGCTCCTCCCTTGGCACGCTCATGCTGCCCATCAGGCCCGATGGGCAGCATGAGCCAGCCAAGGGAGACTGCCCCAGCGCTCCATGCAGTCATGCCGGCAACATGACCTTGGAGGTGTCTACGGACAACGGCAGCTCTTCGACTTAGAAATGCAGATGAGCACCACACCCCAGAATCAGACACGACTGGACTTCATGTCAGAGGAAAACCTGTAACTGGGAAAATTGTGGAAGATCCAGGGTGGGAGAAAGAACTCTTGTCTGTTGAAGGTAGGTATGAATGTTTCAATTGGCCACCTTGATTACCATTGCARAGCCTGACAGTTTTTAGGGAGAATCCTTTGTTGAGAGGTGATTAGCTGGCCCTGATTGTTTCTTGTCTGGAGTTCCCCTGTGTTTGAGTGTTGTTCTTTATTTACAGTTACAATTTTAGAGGTTTTTTTAATACTGGTAGCCAGATTTTGTTCAGACTAGAAATAGGAAGATTTCCCATTCTCTGCTCCTGGAATTACGGCCTAAAGAGGGCTAGAAAGAACCCCCTCTAAGGGCCCTTCCACACAGCAAAATAAGATACGTGCAATGTGCATAGGAATTTTTTTATTGATTTTTTTTTTWAAAAAAACCTATAGTCCGGCCCTCCAATGGTCTGAGGGACAGTGAACTGGCCCCCAGTTTAAAAAGTTTGAGGACCCCTGGTCTAGAAACTTCTTAAATAAATATTTTAAAATAAATGTATTGGTCATCTCTCATGCACATATATAAAGAGCAAGAGACAAAGACAGGCAGACAGACAGATAATATTTTTTTTAAAAATTACTGTTCTTTTTTTATTAAATGTGCAAATTTAAAAATTAAAAATACAGAATGAATAAAACCTCAGCCCCATGAAGATACAGACTCCAATGCAGTCACATTCCTTCTCTTTGCCTAATGAAGAAGCCTATGGGCTTCCAAAGTAGCATGAACAATTTTGTGCTTTTTGATTCAGCTAGTAAAGATATACATATATACTTTGGATTTTGATTGATGATCAACAAGTATTTTTGAAGTATCAGTAGGTTGTTACCCCAAATATTCATGATTGTAGTTTAAAAATTAACCACAAAGCCCGGATTGACTTGTCATTTAACCTTGTCACATGGCCACCAGAATGGGTGGGTTCCCCCCACACACTGGGTGAGTTCTCTAAATTCTTGTTTTTAAAATAGGAACCATTCCTTTCTCTGAGTACAGTGGCAAAAGGCAAGAGCCTAGTCTGTCCCAGGAGAACGAAAAAGAAGCATTGACCTACTCTCTCCACTTCTAACCTTTTTGAATACATGGGAAAATGGTGGTGGCTGAGACAGCATTGGTCCTTTCCTGTTCCTGCAGAATGGCCCTTCACTTATCCATGGGGCCATATCAAAATTCATAATTTGGCCTCAAAACCTGCCTTCGATTTACACATGTAGTCAACTTATACGTGAGTATATATGATACTAAATTGTAATTAATTCCTTTTTGGAATGATGAAAGTGTGTCTACATTATATTACAATAGTAGCCACAAAAAACTGGGAAAACGTTCTTTTACTTTAAAATCTTAGCATCCAAATTTATGTT